TCATCTATGGTCAAGCAAACATATTGTATTGTGTTAAACCTACAATAACTGATAACTGTTGAGTTTTATATGATGAGTGGAGTTAGCTAGTTGCCCCAAATCCCCTTTGATTGAAAACATGTATGTACATTTTAATGTTTCACATGAAGAGAAAGGAGATTTTGATTTATTAAAGAGATTAAATTAATTAATTATTTATTTATTATAGTAAATATTATTTTATCAATACATTTTATTTATAACAGAGGGTTAAAAGTTAACACGGGTACCCAGGAACTTGGAAAATATATTTTTTAATTAACTCCTAAGTCCTTAAGTGACACTTTCTATTCAATTTCTACAGAAGAACAAAACTTGTACTGTTGGAATTGGACCCAATGAATGGTACTTACATAAACACTGAAATATTAATTTATCTTCATTCCTAACACTTAACCTGATGTTTCTGCACAAATGTATAAGGTCCCTTATTTAGCCTACTGTACTGTTTCAGGATTTCAGTGTGTTAAGCAACCCACTCAGTGTCTTGCCTGAACTCTAGACTACATGTAGGAGTGCACTGAGTGATTCATGTGGAGGTTCATATTGAATCATATTGTAATGGTGTTAGAGAGGAGTCCCCCACCCCCCTATGCCCTCTCCTTCTCACTGATGCATTCATCTCTGTTTCTGGAGATTCATGAAGCAGTTTGTCAGCTGGTAAATGTCAATAATGGCACATTTCAGTGACACAAGCCAGAATAATTACTTGAAGCATCGACATTGTGGGTTGAACAAGAGGCAGCATTATTTGGAAAATGCAGCAAATTGGATTTAGACTCTTATTGATCTGTTTTTCTGTCCCAGGATTAAAGGGAAGATACATGAGACCAATCTGACGTATGAAGACTTCCCGACATCCAAGTACATGGGGCCCTTGCAATACACAATATGGAAGTTGCTCTTCCAGGATGTCTCACCAGGTATGTGAACATGACTGGAACATGAGATTTAACTCGAACATGCTGGTTAGCAAATGTACAGCTTCAGCATTGCAGGTGTTAAAGGAATAGTTTAACAAACATGCTCTTGCAGAAAGTTAGATGAGAAGATCGTTACTACTCTCATGTTAAATATAGGACTACAGCCAGCAACCAGTAACCTTAGCTTAGCATAAAGGCTGACCCAAGCTAACCTAGCTCTGTCCAAAGGTAACAATATCTGCTTACCAGCATCCTTTTAAAGCTCACTAATTAACTAATTAACATGTTATGGCTCTTCTGTTTATTTAATCTGTGATGATATATTTAGATAGATAGATAGGTGCTATACAAATAAAGTTATTATTTTTTTATTATTATATTTAATTTTTGAAGAGAGAGGCGTCAATCTTCTCATCTAACTCTCGGCAAGAGAGCGATTAACCATATTTTCCAAAAATGTGTAACTATTCCTTTAAAAACTGGTTGATTATCGAATTTTTCCTCACACAGAGTGCAGGAACTGTTTGCCCTGCATTAGGATGTCTGGGATGCTTTGAGCTTTTTCTCCCTTTCTGGATGGTGGTCGGACCTGCAGGGTAGTGATGCCTTTCTGTTTTTGATAGTGCCAAGAGGAGCTCTACTCCCTCTGCCCTACAGCCATCACTCACTCACAGGAGATTATTTAAAATAATGTGCTGAGGAATTTTTTACTCCCTCAATCAATTCTCCCATTTCAGCCCGCTGCCGGCTGAGGGGAGGCCAGGCAGTCTTTTGGCCTCCCTTGACTGGCTGCCAAATGGAACAATTGGTTATGATCCATCACCAGCGGTTGCCAGACACGAAATAAAGACATTCCTCCCATCATCCCTCATCCCTCGCTGTCACTGATGGGTTAGTGGGAATAGGGCTTTTTTTTTTCTCCCCTCTCTCACATTCAGCAGGAAAGATGGTTTCTCTACTGATGTGTGTATGCTTGCTGGCTTCTCTCTCTGACACAAAAGAGGCACTCAGGTTATGAAATTTTAATGACTTGTTTGTAACAAACACTGGAGATGTCATTGACTAGCGAAGGCATTGTCCTGTCCGCTGGCCGGGCGCCAGACATTTCACCTCTAGTTCTCCCAGCTGGTATAGATACAGAGGATCTGGAAAAATGCATTCTTCCCCACTCTGCTTTATGTGAAAGAGAGCGAAGAGAACAAGCCTTTATTGTTCAGCCTAATACAATTCCCTCATAAGCAGACGTGGGTGCAGATTTCTCCCTCCCTAAAAAACCACATAACTGCACAGAGAAACAGTCTCCTACCGACCTGTAGCCTGTGGAGCGAGCTGGAGCAGCTCCTCCCATCACTGTAATTACTGCTTCACTGTATTGTTTGCTCTCTTCGCGTGGTCTGATATTGCTCAAACTGAGCTACCCTATCAGACTCTGGAGAGCACTTGACTTTGAAGACTGTATTTTATGCACAAAGGTAAAAACAGATTATTAAAAAAAATGTATTGCGGTGTACTCACACAGCCGCACTCGTCTCGTTGTACAACTCCATGTTTAATTTTCCCGAAATTGGAGTCGAGCAGCAGTTGGGTGTGCTGTATAATAACACAACATCAGTCATCTTCCACCACAGGGCACGGCTTTGATCACCTCCTCTAAGTCTGGAAGTACTGTAATATCTCCACCTGGTTGTTGGTGTGACGGTGAATAAAATCTTTATGGAATACAGCAACATTTATTTCCATTAACAATGTCTTTACTCTGGATAATACACAGAGGGAATATTTCATTGATTCCACAGTGAGGTCGATCACCTGGACACTTGTAATGTAATTGCAGTCTAAGGCACATACATACACACAGCGTTATTGTAACGTCAGTCTGGATTGATACATTTCATAAAATGGCACTCTGTCTGTTCTGTGATACTTGTGGGTTTTTCCGTTTTCGAATAAGCATAGAGGGTGTTGTATGTGCACAGATTGTAAAGCCCCTTGAGGCAAATTTGTGATTTGTGATGGGCCATATCAATGAAATTGACTTGACTTGAGTCGGACGAGGATGGATGTCAAAAACATTTTCTGTGGGACTCCCGAGTTGCTCACCAGGTAGAGCACGTACAACATGTCAAGGCTGAGTACTTAGAGCAGCGGCCCGGGTTCGAGTCTGGCCTGAGGCCCTTTGCTCAATATCATCCCCTCCCTCTCCACTGCGGTTCCTGTCTCTCTTTTTACTCTTTGGTCAAATATGTGGATTGCTTTTTGAGAGTGGAAGCAGAAACCTCAGAGACATATATATCTGGGGAAATAAGACCAAAACCATTTTCAGGACCTCCGGGTCAAAACATAAAACCTTTAGTATATATTTTCCAACCAGACAGTTTTTATATATATATATTTACTTGGGGGCTTTTATTGCCTTTTAACTGATAGAAATGGCTGAAGAGTGACAGGGAGGGAGGGAGAGGGAGAGAG